CCACTTGGTTTAATCAATTTCCTGGAGCACCCAAAGCAGCCCCAAACTCTCATTAGACCTTGATCTGGTTTTGTTTGGTTTCAGGTCTCTCAAGGCTGCTCCAAAGAGCCCAGCCCTCCCTCCCTGGCCCCAAGCCTGCAGCCACCCAGCCCCATGCCTCACAGTTGGCTCCCAGGCTGGCCCAGGCTTGGCCTGCCTCCAGCGCTGCCTGGTGCTTGCTGGGCTGGGCTTTGCCTCACCAGGCTCTGCAGGCCCAGTGCAATGCTCTGCTGGGAATTTAACCCGGGGTGGGCACTGGATGCCCACACAGCCCTTCTCAAGTCAAGGTGATCAGCTTGGGAACCAACACAGGAAAACCTTTCTATGTCCTGTCAAGTCAACCAGCCAAGGACGAGATCAAATCACAGGGTGGAGTCACCTTCAGAATTATTTACACTGTCCTTTAAACAGTGATGAATCCAAGCTCCTTTAAAATGATTTGATTTATGGGCAGGGCGCGGTGGCTCACGCCTATAATCCCAGCACTTTGGGAGGCAGAGGCAGGTGGATCACGAGGTCAAGAGATGGAGACCATCTTGCTCAACATAGCGAAACCCCGTCTCTATTAAAAATACAAAAATTAGCTAGGCATGGTGGTGCATGCCTGTAGTCCCAGCTACTCGGGAGGCTGAGGCAGGAGAATTGCTTGAATCCAGGAGGTGGAGGTTGCGGTGAGCCGAGATCGCGCCATTGCACTCCAGCCTGGGTAACAAGAGCGAAACTCTGTCTCCAAAAAAAAAAAAAAAAGATTTGATTTACACAAGGTTTTTCAGAAGCACAGATGTATAGGGAGAGGTGCCTGGAGGGTCTCAGAGTTACAGAGCTGTCCTAGAGGATGGTCCCAGCCTGGCTTTGCCCCCCACTCACTGTGGGGCCTGACATCTCAGCCCAAGCTCACCTGAGTCCCTGGCCCTGATCGAGAAGGAGAGGCAAACTATCCCACGTACAAACTCACTGTATCATTCCACATAAATGTTCTACATAGATGCTTTTTAAAGTGACGACTGGGGCTTTGTTATTAAATATAATGTATTTTTAAGGACAGGTGTGGTGGCTCATGCCTGTAATCCCAGCACTTTGAGAGACCAAGGCAGGCGGATCAGGAGTTCGAGACAAACCTAGCCAACATGGTGAAACCCCATCTCTGATAAAAATACAAAAATTGGCTGGGCATGGTAGCGCATGCCTGTACTCCCAGATATTGGGAGGCTCAGGCAGGAGAATTGCTTGAACTTGGGAGTTAAATGTTGCAGTGAGCTGAGATCGCACGCACCATTGCACTCCAGCCTGGACGACAGAGCCAGACTCTGTCTCAAAATAAATAAATAAATAAAATGTATTTTTAGACTACTCAGTTCTCTATAGTGGTCAGTGGTGTATGAGGAGGGAGGAAAGAGGGGTGAAAGGAGAGAGAAATATATCAGAGAGATGGGCAGAGGTGACCGGGTAGGGACAGAGCAAGGCTAAGGTAAGGGAGGAAGTTGAAGATGAGAGCAGACACTCACATACACCCTTAAAAAGAGAAGGCCCAGGCCAGTGTTGTGGCTCACGCCTGTAATCCCAGCACTTTGGAAGGTCGAGGTAGGCAGATCATGAGGTCAGGAGATGGAGACCATCCTGGCTAACACAGTGAAACCCCGTCTCTACTAAAAATACAAAAATTATCCTGGCGTGGTGGCGTGCTCCTGTAGTCCCAGCTACTCGGGAGGCTGAGGCAGGAGAATCACTTGAACCTGGGAGGTGGGGGTTGCAGTGAGCTGAGATCTCGCCACTGCACTCCAGCCTTGACGACACAGCAAGACTCTGTCTCCCCCCAACCCCTCAAAAAAAGGCCAGGCATGGTGGCTCACACCTGTAATCCCGGCAGTTTGGGAGGCTGAGGCAGGAGGATCCCTTGAGCCCAGGAGTTCAAGACCAGCCTGAGCAACACAGTGAAACCCTATCTCTACAAAAAACAAACAATTAGTCGGGCACTATCATGCAAGCCTGTGGTCCCAACTATTCAGGAGGCTGAGGTTGAAGGATGGCTTGAGCTTGGGACTTCAAAGTTGCAGTGAGCTATGATCGCACCACTGCACTCCAGCCTGGGCAACCCAGCAAGACCTTGTCTCAAAAAAGACACAAATCAATACACAAGAAAGCAGCCACCCAGGCTGTTGCCCAGAACCAGAAAACATTTACAGCGTTCTATTGCCATCTGGTGGCTATCTTGAATATTGCACCCCAAGGCTTTCAAAGCCCCACTGCTCGGGTAGGTTTCTGTCCATCCTGGGCTTCCAGGCTCTGTGCTTTTCAGGTCTTCACATTCCAACTAGTGGCCTGGACATCCTCCAAGAATGTGCCTTTAGCTCCATCTTCTCGAAGCCAACCAGGCTCCCCCCCTGCACAGGCCCCTGGGCCCTTCTCTGGCCATGATCCTTGCACACCCCCTTCTCCCTGCTGGGAGCCCCAGTTCTCCGGATCCTGCAGCCTGGGCCCCACAGGAGCAACTTCTCTCTCACCCTGCATGGCCCCTGTGACTCCCTGCTTCTTCAGATCTCCTCTGTGCTTCCCAGGGACCCCCCAAGAAGGGCTGCTGGGCCCTCACCCCACTTAACCCTCCCCAGCAGATGCCCACAGCCTGCCCGCTTCAACACTCCCACAGCCACTGCCAGCTGAACGGAGCCTCTCTTTGGGGCCACTCTCCACTGCCCTCTGTCTTGCTGGGCAATGCCCAGAGGCCTGCAGCAGCCCCAACCTCTCTTCTGCCAGTGTGAACTCTCCCAGCGTTCAAGCTTCACACCTCTTAGTGCTGAACACATGGCCTTGGCCGCCCCAGCCGCCTCCAGCTCTAGCTTTATTTTGCTTTTGCTCTAAAGATCTCCACGTTGCAGCGGTCCACTATCCTCCTTCGGCTCCTGCACCCAGCACTCTGGGTGGCGGCCGTCCTTTCCAAGGCCACTGACCAGGTCCCAGACAAGGGTCTGCCTGTCCTTTCTGGCTTGCTGACACTTGACATTGGGGGGGAGGTGGACCTAGCAGTGCAGGCTGCTTCCTTGCATGTCCTTCCCTGGCCAAGATCTCCATCCGATGTTCCTCCTGCTGCTGCCACTGGCTCTGTGTATCTGCTCACCTGTCCCTGTCCCCTGGCCTGGGCCCTGGGGGCAAAAGCTCTTAGCACAGAGCCTGATGCTCAAAGGAGCCCCATAAGTGCTCGCTGAATGAATAGAAAAGAATAAAAAAAGGAAGGAACTGGCTTTTTTTTTTCTTTTTTAAATAGAGTCAGGGTCTCACTGAGTTGCGCAGGCTGCAGTGCAGTGGTGTGATCATAGCTCACGGCAGCCTCAAACTCCTGGTCTCAAGCGATCTTTCCACATCAGCCTCCCAAAGTGCTGGGATTACAGGTATGCATCACCGCGCCTGGCCAGGAACCAGCTTTTGATGCTGTTCTGTGTTCTGTTTTACTGGTTGTGTTTTCTTCATCTTTTTTTTTTTTTAAGAGTTAGGACTGCAAGGTTGTGTTTTCTGATTTATTTCTGCTCTTATCTTTGTTTTCAGATTCTTATTTTCTTGTATTCTTTTTCCCCATTAAGAACCCAATTTATATGCTGCAGTCATGTAATTTTTTAAATAACAAAAGTATTTAAAACTATGAAATCCTTCTAAGTACGATTTGGGGCACCTTAATATAATGTACAGGATTCGTTTTACATTTTTTGATACAGGGGCTTGCCCAGGCTAGTGCAGTGGTGTGAACATGGCTTACTGCAACCTTGACCTCCTGGGCTCAAGTGGTCCTCCCACCTCAGCCTCTGGATTGGTTGGAACTACAGGTGAGTGCCACCATGCCCAGTTAATTAAAACAAATTGTAGAGATGGGGTGTCCTATGTTGTCCAGGCTGATCCCGAACTCCTGGACTCAAGCGTTCTGCCTTGGCCTCCCAAGTGTTGGGATTAGGTGTGAGCCACCATCCTTGGCCCCAACGAAATGTTTTAAAAGCTGATCCTTTGTATCTTTGTCTGGACACACCCCCCATTCCCACAGGCCAAATGAGGCGAGGATGAGCTTGGCAAGGGGCTTGTGGGCCCCAGGGTCTGGCCTGGCTGGGTCTGAGCTGAATGAGGAGCCAGGCACTTGGAATCTGCAAGTAGGGACAGAGTCAGGACCGAAAGTGGAAAATGAGTCACTGGATCAGGGTGCACAGGAGGCCGCAGTGGTTGAGGCTGAGGGTAGGGTCAGCAGCAAGAACCCAGGCCACCGTGTCCCGGCCAGGCTGCACACTGGAGTCACCGGTGGGGGGAGGGGCCCACCCCGAGACAATGACAGGCCCGGGGGAGGCTTGGGCACTGGGACGATGTTTAAAAGAATCCACCCACCCCCCAGGTGACCCCCTTTTGCAGTCAGGATGGAAAACTGCCACCCACAACTCACCTCGGTGGCGGCGTCAGGGTTTACAGCTGTTCCTCCTGGCTCCCTGCCCAGCTCTCCCTCCTCCCCTGCAATCTCTCCCTGTACCCAGTGTGGCCGCCTAATTCTCTGCATTTTCCTTTGAAAATCATTCCATCTGGGGCTCCTAAAGCAATAGATGTTCACTGCAGCAAATCCAGAAAACGGAGAAAAGCACAAAGGAGAAAACAGACGTTTCACATTTTTTCCCAGTGATTTACACCCATCTGCCGAGGCTTCAGCCTCTGCAGGTTCCCGAACGATCCTGAATGAGATGTGGCTCCTGTTCTCTTCCATGTGGGCATCTGTTCTGGGAGAACTGAGTTGTTCACTCAGACGCCGCCAGCTTTGTCTCTTTTGTAGCCAAACTTTATTGAGCACTTACTGTATGCTGGGCACTGCATGAGGCCACAGAGACCCAGAGGTCTTGGCAAAACCTCGTGGAGGCTTCCGGCCCGTCCAGGAGGCAGCGGCGTGAGACCCTTCAATGGGTCATGTTAAAGGCCTGGTGCGTGGACCCCATCTGCCTTTTTCCTTGTCTTTTCTCCTGGAGATTCGAGTGTTGGTCTGTGTTATGGCTGAGGTTTGTTTCAGACAATTTTTCTAGGCTTTAATGGCTTTTAAGGGAGGCTGGGACTGTGTCCTTTGCCACTTTTCCACACTTTGTACCCCAAAATATCTCAGAAGAAGTCAAGTCACCTCTTCTCCTTTAAACCTTTAGTAGATCTAGACGTGCCATCTCTGCCCTGCATGGTGACGTCATAGCCTGGACCTCGTCTGCCCCTTTCTACACTTGGCACGAGGTCGCCTGACTCTCACCCCCTCATGGGCGGGGCATGGGCAGAGCAGCACAGGGTGTGAGGGGCAGGTCTGGCCCTGAAAGGGACCTTTGATGCAAAGTTGTCTCCGTTCAGCCCATTCCTGCTGCTCTCTTCAGAGATTTAAGAACTGGGCTAAATGGTGCCCACACCTTCCAAGCCAACCTCAGATGAACTCAGGGCCGACAGGGGAGCCACCTCCCATGCCAAGCTAAGGGTTCTGTCTCTGGCAACCTGAATCATCCACTCACACAGAGGCTGAGTTAAACTAACCCCGCATTCAATGAGGGCCGGCTACCTGCCCACCTTTGTGGGGGCTGCAAAAGTGCGTTTTGCAGGTAGCCGGTCTCTAACCCGGCCATGGTGGTGGGTGAGGGTCCAGAGAGCCTCTTTCACTGCAAGCTCCACACATGCCCGAGCAGGGACAGGCAGGACCTTTCATTTAACCCAGATGGTTTGCCATCAGGAGGGAGGTCCTGAGTGCTCTCTTCCTTCCCTCCTTCCTGTGTGCCAGGGGCCTCTGCCCTTGTCCCCACGGCCCTGCGGGAGCCACCGTCTGTCCTTTCCTCGATGGGAGGCGGTGCTCTGGGCCACAGCGGAGTGTTCCCCACCTCTGTGCACTGCCTGGCATGCAGGGGCACTCAGAGGAGGCTGGATGCACAGAGGCAGGGTCTACACGTGTGTCCCTTTAACCCGACCGTCCATTTCCATCAGGGTAGGATGGGGCACCGCACCCACAAGCTTGTCGGGAGGAGGAGGGAGGAGGCTCCTGCATTGAAGCCTGGGCCAGGGAAGGTGGTGGGAGTGTCTGCCTGTGTGTGGGGCAGCTCTGCAGGCTGGGAGGAGCTAGGGGTCGCCACTGTCCTTTGGCTGTAACGAGTCACTGCACCCGCTGGTCACAGCCACACAGTCTCCTTAGTGGTGAACTGGCTGTGTAGAGTTTGTGTTTCCTTTTTCAGAATGAGGGAAAATGGTCCCGATGTGCCATGAAAACAGGGCACATGGGGATAGCCCTGGTGCTGAGGGAGAGTGGGCAGGTGAGGAAGCACCCCCTCCACGGAAGCCCTCTCCCCGGGGGGCCCTTTGCTGCAGAAGCTTTGAAGCTTCACAGAGGGGTCAACTTCAAGTCAATGCCCTGAGTAGTGGGCCCGGAGTCTCTTCTGGAAGGAGGTGGCGTCTCTGCAGAGGGGAGCGCAGGCACATGCCACAAGGGGAGTTCCCATGGGCCCAGGGCCAACCTGGGTGGTCCCAGGTCCTGTGTCCTGTCAGTGAGAACTGGTGGTGCTCTACCAAAAACCAGCCCCCAGCCTGGGGCAAAAAGACAAAGGATTTGCTGGGTTCTGGTCCCCAAGAGGCCTGGACCTCCCACTGGGCCCTGAGGATTGGGAAGACCAGTGAGGTAGGGTGCAGCTTTGAGCAAGGTGCCTGGTGCACTGAGGGCCACCCTCCCTCCACATGCCCCAGGCTCAGGCCCAAATGACCAGCAATTCCATGATGTGGAGTGCACCTGTGTGTCGGAGGCAGCTGTCCCACGGGCCCAGGGTTCTGGAAAGCCCCTTAGCTCCCTGAGGCCGGTGCACAGAAGGCCCAGCATCTGCGCTCTGAGTAAGCCAGTGTCCTCTGCACCCCCAGCCTCCTCTTTGCCCTTCCCCAGCACCCCCAGTACTGGGTGGCAAGAGTGGGTTCCTGGGCTGAACTGTGGTCTCCGAAAATTCATATGTTGAAGCCCTCGCCCCCCACATCTTAGAATGTGACTTTGTTTGGAGATAGGGCCTTTAGGGAGCTGATTAAGTTAAAAGTGAGGTAATCAGAGTGGGCCCTAATCCATGGTGTCCTTATATGATCAGCTCTCACAGGGCCACCAGGGGAGGGAAGACTTCGGCAGAGCAGGGGGGAGACGGCCACCCACGGCCACAGACAGGCCTTGGAAGAAACCCACCTGCCCACATCTGGCTGGTGAGGAGGCGCACTGATGTTCTTTCACTGTGGTGCTTTTCATGTCAAACCGAACACACTCAGACGAGGGGCACAGGGACAGGAGTGGGGAAAGGGGTCCAGGCCAGGCCCCCGGAAGCCCGTGCTTCTCCACCTTTTGGAAGCTGGAGACCTCGTGAGCACCTGCTTGCCCCAGAAGAATCAGCTGATCAAAACAGAACCCCCAATCTCTCCAGAATCCAGAGGAATCTAACCTAAGCAGATGCCCCACGAGTGGAGATGCCCACCTATGGGTGGCAGCGTGCTCTAACCAGGAGCCAGGAGGGGAATCGCTGTGGGCGCCCCGACTATGAGAGCCTCCAGCCATGGGGAGACAGCCCTGCCATCTCTGTCTGATTAATACACGGCGAAGATGCAAGAGAAGAGCCAGACGTTCTCTTGCCTGAGCAGGGCACTCGCAGTGTCGTAGAGAACCCAATAAAGAACTGATCTTCCTTGAAGAGGTCCGGACGGGACTGCGGTGTAATGTGGGAGTGAGAGCCGAGCACCCCGACCTCCAGGAGCAGGCCCCCACACCTCCATGCGCAGCCCCCTCACCTCCAGGCGCAGCCTCCGGCACCTCCACGCACAGCTTCCCGCACCTCCACGCGCACCACCACCCCCTGCACCTCCAGGCGCAGCCCCCCATCCCCCTAACAGCTTCCCGCACCTCCACGCGCACCACCGCCCCCTGCACCTCCAGGCGCAGCGCCACCCCCCCGCACCTCCAGGCGCAGCCCCCCCTCCGCACCTCCAGGCCCAGCCCCCCCCCCCCCCCCCGCCCCACCCACGCCCCCCCCCTCCCCCAGGCGCCCCCTGCCCCCCCAGGCGCAGACTTCCCGCGCCTCCACAGGCAGCCAGCCTCTCTTACCTTCCCGCCTCCTGGCTGGTGCTTCAGGTTCTCAGTGGAACCGATCTTGGACTTGACGTTCTTCAGGTCTGGCATGGGCACAGGGGCTGTCTGCAGGCGGCTCTTGGCGGAGGATGGCGACTTGGGTGGAGTACGGACCACCGCTACCTTCTTGGGCTCGCGGGTGGGTGGGGTTGGAAGGGACGGAGTGCGGGAGCGGCTGCCTGGAGTGCCTGGGGAACCGGGACTGCTGTAGCCGCTGCGATCCCCTGATTTCGGAGTTTCACCTGGGGAGGAAGGAAGGCAATGAAGCCAGGACTCGGGTCGGTGGTGGTCAGAAAAGGCCCTGGGGGCTGCCTGTCCTGCGGGTCCATTCCCAGGCTCACCGTTGGGTTAGGCAGGTGAGGGCCAGGTTGGAAGTGCAGGCGGCGGCTGCGAGCCCTCAAGCATCTCCTCCTCCCTGCCTTTTTGCTTAGGGACAGAGACGCCCCTTTCCCAGGAAAACAACGGAAAATCATCAACCCATCCAACACCCGCTCCCAGAGAGGCAGCCAACTTGGCCCCACGGTCTTTGGGTCAAGAGGTGGGCTCCAGCAAGCTGTGTGGTCTCAGGCAAGTCACTTCCACTCTCTGAGCTCAGAGGCCTCAATTTGAAAATGGAAATAATTATAATCCCTGGGGCAAGGGTGCCTCCAGGTGGTGGTAGATACGCTTTGCAAATCTCTAGTGCAATTCTTCAGAGCCTTTATCCTAAATAAGGGTGAAGCAGTGATCCTAAATAAGGGTGACACAGTGACGGGACCCAGCTGTGCCCTGAAACCTGGACGCTTCTGACCCTTCCCCCCAGGGTGAATGTTCACTGTTGGGCTAGTTCAGGGCTCCTGCCAGCTCCCTGGGTCCCGTGTGGGACCTGGGCTCCGGAGCAGGATGCCTGCTCCACACCTGCCTGTCCCTAGCTGTCCACACAAGCCATACTGCTTCACGCTGCGGTGCCCTGTGGTACGGTTCCCCTCCGCCATGCACGGCAGATGTCAGTGACCCTTTCCAACAACCCGGAAGGCTGCTGGGGAGTCTCCGCTCCACGCAGATGCGGTCCCTCCCTCCTCTGGGTGTCCTTTCCCAAGCTTGCTCTGTCACTGCACATCCCAGGCCCCGTTACACCTCAGCACTGCGCTACTCTGTCTCATGGCTCCGTGTTTTCCAAAGTGTGGCCCACGGGACTCTGTGTCAGATCTCCGGCGCTTTCAAGGAGGAAAGTGGGACTTGTAAAATGCAGATTTCTGTGCCCCATGGAGAATGGATAGAGCAGAATTTCTAGGGGTGGGGCCCGCAAAGCTCATTTTTTCCAAGCTTCCCAAAGACTGAAGTCTGTCTAAGAGCTGCAAGCTTCACGCTGTGCCGAGGTGTGCTTAGCTTCCCTGCAGTTTGAGGACTGACTTTCCTGCGGGTCTTTAAGCTTCCTGCAGCAATGCCCCTGCCCCGCTCCGGGCATCTGCTGTAACACACACCTGCTGGCCTGACCTGGAGAAGGGCAGCTCTTTGTTCAAAGCTCCTGTGTAGCCAATAGGCAGCTTGGCCAGTCACAAATAAGCACCAATTCTTTTTGTTTTTTTTGAGACGAAGTTTCGCTCTTGTAGCCCAGGCTGGAGGAGTGCAATGGTGTGATCTCGGCTCACTGCAACCTCCTCCTCCCTGGGGTTCAAGCGATACTCCTGCCTCAGCCTCTTGA